CAGCAGCAGCAGCAGCAGCAGTAACGACGGCCAATTGGATGCCAGCGGCTACTGTTGCAAGCATGGCTGTAATCCTTGTCCTTGCTAGTCTTGCTTTGAGTGCCATTGCTGTTGCCACTGTTGACATGGCATGCTGGTGGTAATGGAGAAGACAGGGACCAACAATGAGAGACGCCAATCAGTTTTACTATTGATCCATACAGTGCGACCCATACTATACTGGCATTGATGCTGATACGAATGCTGGTGCTCAGACTACTGCTGATTTCGTCTCGGGTACGAACACGGATTTCGAAAATACAGGTGTCGAAAACATGATCTGCGTTTATGGTGCTTGCATTCGTACTTCCAATTGAAAGCTGAGAGGAAGGTAGAAGAGGATTGCGGCTGTGAGCCCAGTTTGTGCCACAAATCTTGAGGATGTGTCATAGATGTCATAGACACGTGTGCAGCACCACAGCTTCAGTTCGTGGGTTTTGGTTTGTGCAACGACAGCCTCGAACCTTCCAGTGCTCCTTGAGGTATGAGAACTCAGTTCAATCCTAGACAATCCTGCCTTTCTGCTCAGTGACAGAAAAGCCATCCGCGCCCAGGGCAACTAGTTGTAACATCCTTTGTTGCCGGTCCTAGCCATCCGTACCTTCGGCAGGCTTCACACCAATGTGCGGAGAAATGCGACAACTCCGGATGAAGTACGCAAGCTTGTGCTTGGAAGAGCTAGCTATCTGTGATCATGTAGCAGTTGAACTTACACGACTTGTTCATGAGGTACTTGCGGTGGTGGAAAAGCTCAGCCGGCTGGCAGTTGCCTGTGCAAGCGAATCTCTACAGTTTTCGCTTGGGTGGGACAGTTTTGGCTTGGGTGGGACATGTCCAGCATTCACGTGTTCCGCTTCAATGTCTGGTGGGATTGTACGGACATTGCATTTGTGGATTTGTGCCAGGTGCCACCGCTGGCAACTACTCAAGGATGCGAGAGACTGGGTGGCGCTGGCCCCATCCAGTCAAAAGTTTGGTAGGCAGAGCGAGTTGGAATTCTCCCCCAGCCTGAAGGTTGCTATCAGTGCACTCGGGCGTGCTGGGCTTTGGGAGCAGGCATTGGACACACTAGAGGCGCATTCGCTCTGATCTGTGCGGTCGGTCCAACACTGATTCCTGATTTTGTTCTCAGGCCATGAGACAAGAACGCCTGGTTGCGGTGCATGCCTTCAATGCAACTATGTCTGCCTTGGAGACCACTGGCCTGTTAAAGTTAGGTATCATTTATTGCTGCCAATGCGCGAAAAGTCAAGATCCTTGCAGCGATGTCATTGGTGCAGGCGTTCGCAATAGGCGTTGAAATTTTCATGCGTCGTGCACATCAGCGACCAGGAAAGGTCGCCGATGGCCAGCGGCCATTCAGCTTTATCGCGACATCAATCGCGACTCGCTCGCATGCATTTTGGGCATCATGTCTCTTTTAACTCGGCATGACATGTCCCGACTCTGTCAAGGATATGAGCTGCAGCCTGATGTTGCAGCTCACTCATTGTCTCCGGCACTGGATACGCCGAGAGGAAAGGCCATCCCAAGCTGCATTGCGTTCCAGGTCACCGGCAATGCCTTGCTGTCTGCTTACGATCGCGGGGGGCATTGGCGCTGCCAAAGCCTTAGCTGCATCTTCGTAGGTGGGCTGCAGCAGGGCAATCCGATGGTGCTCAGATGCCGTCGCTTTTATCGACGAGATGGGTAACGACAGACTTCGGCCGAATGTTGTGACTTACAGCAGGCCCCTGAGTTGTCTTTTCTTGTCGCAATGCTGGAGAACTCATAGGTAATCGCAGAAGCCTGGCAGTGGATTGAGTGAGAGTTTGAGCCGAGGCACAGTTATCTCTTGCTGCGAGCGGGGCCGAGCATGGCAGCAAGCACTGCAGGACTGGGACCTGCCGATGGTCGGTTTTGAAGCAATGGCCTGATTGCTAGGTATTCTCCGAAAGCTGCGGTATTGATGGAGACACTGTGATCTTCAATGCAGCACTTAGTGCCTGTGATCGAGGGTCTCTGTGGCTGAAGGCAGTCCATACATCACACGAATCATGTGGAGCACATATGCCAATTGTTGAACGAGAAGTGTCGCTTAGGGCATCCGACTTTGCATCTTGTCTAGCGGATGTGACTACCGTTTCAGGCGTTGGATATCTTTGCAGAGATGCAGAAGGCCTTGCCCACATTATGTCGTACGGCTGTCGTACTGTGAACTGGACATGCAGCTCTTCCTGTGACATCGATCTTTGGGTTCACAGTGCTACCACGGGTCGTCGAACAAACGTCATGACGCCGCGGCGCAGCCCTGTCGAACATTGTGTTGATTATAGAAATTCATTACGTATGCTTGTGTGGAGAGTTCTGAGGGCATGCAGCCGTCTGATTGCTCTCGCAATCTCGCCGCATTGCACTGAGGACTGTCAAGGATTTTCAGGGACACTCATCTGCACTTGCTGTTTGCAACTCTCATGGATGGCAAGCTTGAGACACCTGCGACGGGACCAGGTAGAAGTGCCTGGAGCAAGGGGCTACTCTGTCTGCACTGCCTTCAAAAAGCCTGACAAAGCTTCTCGGAATAAATTTGTTCGAACTGAGCCTACCGTTCTTAGTCATGGGAATTCAGGAGTTCTTCCTGGACTTGAAAGATGAGGGTGGTCTCCGGCATCGAGTTTGAGCGGCAAGCACGATGAATCGAACTAGAGTACTCTGGCTGGTTGTCAACTGCAGGCAGGATTGATCAAGCCTGCGTGTCATAAGGATGTCTCCAGTGGGGACATGAAGCAGCACAGGCACGTCGGAACTGATTGTTGCAACAAATCCACGCTGTCTTGTCCGGCAGGGTCCTTTAGTGCTCTGTCTTCATGCTGCAAGTCTTTGCAGCGGGGTGTGGGCGCCGCTAGCAAGCCGCTTATCGCCAGAGTCTGTAGTGGTGGCTTGATACTCAGCAGCATCTAAAAGCAAAGACATGGGTCATGAACGAGTCTGTAATGAGGCTTGCTAAGTGCCTCCACTTACAGCTCTCAGGTGACCTGCGAGGTCATGGCAGATCAGATGCACCTAGTGGGCGAGCACACTATTCCTGGCACACCTTCGGGGAGGCGAGCCGCGGCGAGCCCGGTGAGTCCTCTGTCAGTGCACTTCCGACTTAGCCGACTTTGCCCTGTTACGGCTTCGTCACCGTGCCGGTCATGTAAAATTTTAATATGCCCTAGGACTTCGTCCGACTGCTGCACGCAGTTTCGAAGCTGCATGGCCGGTACCCGGCTGCCTGCGTCACCCACTCTTTTGCAGGATCGGGCTGAGGGGGTGTGACATGGTGTGACTGGTTGCCAGCAATTCTGGCTGTGCCTGCGCCAGGAGACACTGCTCTTATCGGCTTAGCAGCGAGGTCTTCTGCAGCATGTGTATGTCGTGTGCAAGAGAGTCACGTGTGCATACGAGGCCAACCAGCATCAAGCTGCTGATGCTCGATCCAGTTCTGGCAGACACCGAGGGTGCCACAACTGGAGCAGAGCGATTAGCGAAGGCATGCTTGGGGCACATGCGAGAACAGTTTTAGAGCGGATGCCATCTGTTGCTGCCATTCCGAGAGGGCACAAGACGGCTGGGCGAGAAGGAAGCATGCGGCTTCGAGACGCAGCAAGCTGTGGGCGATGGGCTTGAACGGGTTCTTCGTGCTGCGCTGGCACGCCCATCCCTCCATCCAGAGGACCACTATTGCAAGGGTGTGCTTTTTGTCGGCACGAGGTGCAGTAGCCTTCAAGGAGTTCAGTCGCGGTTCTCAGGTTACTCAAAGTCTAGAGTCTTGCGGGCAGGATACAAGCTGAGGCTCCTTGATTCGAAGTGTCATTGCTCACGGTCCAGGGGACTACGGGGATTTGCAGGGCGGCACCCTGATGTTGAGCCACCACACGGAATGCGGAACAGGCAAAGGCTGCTTTTGCAGCTTACGGCAGCTACGAAGACAATGGTCGATGGCGCTAGACGCTCAGACCGCTCGCCTATGACTTACATCCAGATGTGCAGCTTTAGGTTTGTTCTGTCGCCGCGAGAACGAGGCCGAGGTATATATGAATCGCATCGCAGCTTGGCAGCAGTGCCACGAAACCATCGTCGTGGGATGCTTACAGCCCTAGGCAGTTGCCGATTACCTGTCCGAGAAAAAGGTCAGTGCTGAGGCGACAACGGGCTTCTTTCGGGTAGAGACCTGGTGCAGGAGTCCCTTTGAATCCCGCCGGCACCCGTCAGACGCGTGCACGATTTGAAGGTCCAGTTGGTACTTTCGTCCAAGCGCCGTGCCAAACCTGAAGATCAGGACCTAGCTTGGACTTGCCCTTGTTCTGAACTGGAGTCTGTGCAGAGCACGTTGCCAGGAGAGTGCTCTTTTGCGCGACCAGCAGCAGGCGGAGAAGGTCGTGTCTCGATGCCTGCCTGGTTCGTCTGCTCCTAGCCTTCATCAGCTTTTGTCCATTTTTTCGCTCAAAATGAAAGCGACACCGTGCAATCCATTCCGTCAAGGGAGGCTTCAAGTCCCCGACGATTCTGCCTTGGCGCGAAGGACACGAAGCCGTGCGGCGGTTCCTGTCACATCTGCACGGGTGTAACTGAGGTGAAGGGGTGAGGTTTACAATTCCCGACTGAGGTTGACTCGCGGGGGCTCGTTTTGGGGCATTGCCTCCTTTCTTGTTGCTTTTGTCCTCTTCCTCCTCCTGAATTGGGGTTTGTAGATGTGCCTCTTTGGAGAGCATTTTGGGCGCTTAGAGAGATTACTAAGTAAAATTGCCACGTGACGTGCCGACAGCCCTCAACTGACGAAGCAGCGGCAAGCGTTCAATTTGGCGCTGCCCTTTCTCGCAATTGGATTCGACTTCGGCCTGCGAAGCCCAAGACGAAAGCTTGCATGGGCACGCTCCCAGACCCGTCGCACACTATCCTTGGTTCAGAGGGCTGTTCCGGTCAACGATGCAGAACTGGCGCGGGGGTGGGGGGGATCCGTAAAAAAGCGTTGGTTGGCAAAAACACCTAATACCACCGAATGCTCTCTGCCATTGGTTCCCGGCGGGGACTGCGCATCCGCGTCTCGAGCTGTTCATGCACTTTGCAAGCAGACGGGTGTCTGTGGTTCCCCGAAGGTTCATGCAGCTGATGGGCTGGGACACTTCCTTCTTTTAGAAGATCCGGCATACGTTGCCCAATTGGTTCGACGTTTTGTGTCACAAAGCTGACCTCGACCTAGCGGGAGTGAAAAGCTGCTCAAAGATGCTGAGATAATCGTTCGTGGATTGGCACGGGCGCACGAGCAGTGTTGAATTTGCGGAGGCAGGACTGCGGCGAAATCTGGCCACCTACGGATCTCTTATAAGTGCATGTGGCAACGCTCTCCAGTGGCAGGCTTGGTGGGGCCACCACGACGATTTCAATCGATTGCCTCAGCTCCCTGAATATATTTTTGGCATGCCTTACACAGGCATCCTTGCACTTCCTGGAGCAACTGCAGACAAACAAGCTGGATCCTCGGTGCAGCGTATGTTGCCCAGCACCATTGTCATGATTCGTCTCCGCACTGCAGGACTAGAGTCATCCAGATTCATTGTTGTTGTTGCTACAGTTGCTGCTGTAGCGAAGTTTGTCATCAAAATCCATTCGTTGTCTGTTATCTGACAGCGGACTTGTTCCGAAGGTCCAGACTCTTTCGGATGTTGAAACCACACTGCTCTGCCCCCAGGTGCCGTGGAACCTCCTGTGTTGATATGAGAAACATGTTCACGTGTCCTGGTCTGGGACTACCTGCTCTCCTCCTATTGTTCAATCATTTCCATGGAATGAAAGAACGAGGAAGGAATCCATCGACAGCCGAAGCTCACTGCAAAGAGTTCAACAGCAGCCAGCACTTCGCGGTAGGTTTCCACGTAGCATGTTGCTGCATGGTGCTTCTATGCCAAGATTGGAGCCTGGTCGGATCGTGCTGAATCTGTGCATCAACGCTTGCCGCAAGGCCTGTGAAGTTCAGAAACAGCAAAGCAAGGCGTAGTAAAAGCAGATCATGCAAGAACATGCGAGGCCGAGCAGCTGCATGCAGCACTGGCTATTTTCAGGGAAATGCTCAAAAGGACCCGCCGGCTTTTTCAACAGCGTGAAACATCGGCCCACCACACTTGTGTAAAAGCATGTTGTGCAAGAGGTCAGAGGAACCTGATGTTTTCTGCTACACCTCCATGATCTCTGCATGTCAGCACCCTAATACTACTGCCACCAGTCCTTTTTCGGTTTATAAAGACGCAAGCGAGAGCGAGGTGGTCCGAGTGCTCTCTGGCAGTTGGCCACCTACCTGCATCAGGTTCGTGACTGTGAGCTGAGCCCGATCAGAGCATTCACACGATCAAATGCGGTAGGAGAAGCTATCGTCGGCTTCGGACGTAGCTTCCTTCAATGCTACAATCGGCGTCTGTCGAGACGCCAGCCGATGGCAAGAGGCGCAGAGGAGCCCAGCTGGCGAAGCAGCCGGCCTCGTAAGTTTACTGCAGACTTGACACAGGATCTTCTCCGACCTGTGCCAGAGGAATTTCCTGCCAACACTGCCCACCTATAAGGCACGTCTAAAGTCTAGGTTTCCCACCTACCGGCCCGAAGATCTGACAGGCAGTTATCGGAGCTTGCGCATATGCCCAGCTTTGGGCGCATGCGCTGGAGCATTTGCGAGAGCTCAAACAGACACAGGATGCTCCTGATGCTCCCTGCATCTCGGCCAACAGCTTTTTCGCTCGAAGCAGTTCTCGAAGGGCCGGAAACCTGAGGCAGTGATGTGATCATACAGTACGGGATCGTGTCAAGGGCATCTGCTGAGGCTGTTGCATATCGTCTAAAGGAGCGAACAGTTTTGCGTCCAAAGACAGCGCTAGATCCGCTTCGGCCATTGCCACCGTTACCAGGCTGGGAGGAAGGACATCGAGCAAGCGCTGCTGAATGAGGCCGCTGCTTCATGCAGGGATGCAGGAACTGAGCTATGCAGCGTGCAGGCGCGGAGGGGCCAAAGGGGGCTGTCTGTGCCTCTTTTCCTTTCCTCCTCCGCCTTTGCTTCTGAATGGTGCGGGCCCTAGCAGGGGGCCCTGGGCCTGGCTCGGAGTTCGTTGAACTCAGGTTGAGTGTTCTTCACTGGGAAACGGCTCTTTCCTTCTTTGAGGCTGAAGAGAACGTCGCAAGCTCACGTCACAACCGCTATGTCCTCAGGCAGACGTCCGGATGCCACTCCGAACGTTCGGGGCTGAGAACAACCTGTTGAGCAGCATGTGCATGCACACCGTGATAGACTTGATTTCAACTCCAGCTAGCTAGACATGTCGGCAATGGCCCGTGGCCCATGCATTGGTGAACTTCAGATTGGAGGCTTCATCAAGGCTTTATGTGGTGTTTTGTCGCTCCTCTTCAGTCATTGCCCGACCTGCCCCTATAGTGCGATCTGCCTCGTCGTCTTCCGTGGTGCGGACAGAAATCCGTTTTGCCTGCCTTCGAATCCTCCCACCATTTCTTCGACTCCCAGTGCCTGCAGTTGGCATCATGAGAAGCCGACGGAGAAGAGTGGACAGTAGGGCAGCATGCAGACGAGATTCAGCAAATTCGGAACCGCAGCCGCTTGCTCCAAGGCCGCGTTCAAAACTCTGTTGAGGAAATATACATATACATATACATACATGCATGCATGCTGCATACATGCATACGTACATGCATGCTCTTTTAATTCTTGATGGCATGGCTCTTGAAACCGATGTGCAATACGACATGTCGCTGTTGTGACCGACCGTGATGCTTTGGCTGAAGCGGGCCCCTTTGTAGCCGAAAAAAAGGCGGGCTTTCGCATGATCATGTTTCCGAAATCGAATTGGTAGCGGAGCTTTGGTTAGATCAGCGGACCTTTGGCGCTGGAACCGACGATGACGTCGGCGGGCCCACCTAGGTGGGAAGAAAGGAACTCCGTTCCGGTTTGGGACGGAAAAGCGGAGAAGTTTGCGCACTTCGTTGCTGAGGTCAAGCGGACGATGCATGCGGGGATTATCCGGAAGGCTCTGCAAATTGGACACAGCACTTTGGTTCAGCTTATGTGTAAGCAGAACCCCGACGACTACAGGACCGAGAGCAGTGTGCAAAAGCTGGTGAAGTACCTGGAGGAATCCCCGCTGAACGGGCAACCGCTACCGGATGCTGGATCGAAGATTGTGGCATACTATCGCCGGCTGCTGCGCCGGCACCACGAGCCTCTGCCTTCCTTCCTGCTGCGCGAGGACAAGGTCCACGATGACATGTTGCGAGCGCTTCAGCGCTTGCTTCGTGAGCGCGAGTTGGTTTTCGAGGGTTTTGAGACGGATGTTGAGGAGTGGAAGCGTTTCTGCGGTATCCAGGAAGGCGAGTCCGTGTACTACGGGCCCCGGGATGGCGATGATGCCGACCCCGAGCACGAGGAAGACCCCGAGGAGTTCCCGGCGGAGACCGAAGAAGAAGGCGAAGGCGCCGGGGCTGGAGATCGAGGCCAAGCTCGCCATCCTCCCGAAGGAGCTCGAGGCTTGGCACGGCCAGCGAGAAGGGTTCGCTGAAGGGAGCCCCACCACGGGGCAAGGACCTCCTGGAGAGGTTGATGGAGAACGGTCTTCTGCCTCTATCAGCCCTGGACGTCATCAGGGGCTGGATGGTGTTGGAGATGTCGACCTCGTTTGAAGAAGAGTGCCGAGTGATTAAAACAGGCTAGGCTACCAGGAGGTTCGGCAAGTTCCTGAGCAAATGAGCTATTTCTCTTTGAGTGTGGAGGTCCTACGGCCTTCATGTTGCTGTTAATTGAGCACTGTTGTTCCTTCAAGCCTGGTGTGATCAGTCCTTTGTCGTTGTGCTGATTTGGAATAGCAATGTTATGAACAACGAATAAGCGTCATCATGCAGTTCCGGTACTGCTGTTGGTATGTTGATATGACTACCCAACTACTCAAACGATATGGAATAGAAACACACTCAACCACGGAACTGTGGGATTCCTGAAAACACGAATACGACCGTTCAAAGTAGTAGTAAGCGCGCATCAAAAATTCACATTAATAGGTTAGCAGCAATCTCATAATCAGAATCGAAATCTTCGTGAAAAAAGTCAGTAGTAGTAGTACGTGTCGTGGTGGTGGTGGTTGTTTGGTGGTGGTGGTATAACACAAGACAAGGGGTCTTGCTTCCCCTATCGTCAATTTCTGCGCCTTCAGGCCTTCGGTAAGACCTATGACAATGTGCACCTGGAAGGAGATGTATTCTTGATGACACACAACACATGTGCACTCCTTTGCGCGACTGAGGTTACAGATGATTGTGGCCATCGTGGATGTATTGCTGACAGCAGGACGACATCCAGATGCATGGAGTGTTCTGTTGGCGGCACACGAGGCAGCAAGCGATGGTCTGCAAGTGTTGTGCTTGCGATACTTGTTCCCGTGCCAGGATGGTGTGTTGAATTTGTGGCAGGACGTTCCGTTCCAGTGGGGACTTGTTTCAATTTATACAAGTCGTGTTTGCATGGTTTATGAGTCTAAGTACCATCAGTGCAGAGGATGTATTCTGGGGTCACGCAGTCATTGCCTTGGTGCTTCCCGTTTCTACACCGTGTACCGTGCGACACTCCAGTGCTGTCTGATGTCCACCTATCATGGCCTTTAGCAACGCCAGAGGCGATCTGTTTTGCAGGGCCTCCGTGCTCTGCATAGCATGCAAAGCAAGAATAAGCTTTTTCCTTCACTTAAAGTATGGCCCGCTCATGCTTTAGTAAACCTGATGTGGCAGGATCCATGGACGCTAGATTTGCACCAACTTGGACTTTGCCTAAGCTCTTCTGCCAGCTTCAGATCACGCATATTCAACGAAGATGCTGTGAGGTCCTTGTTCTCCTGCAGTGGCTGTGGCTGCTGTTAGTGCCTCACTCGGGCAGATTCAGCAGGCCGACATGCGCGGCATGCGCCGACTCTCCGGCTGCCAAGGTGCAATGCTTCTGTCGCGGGCGTCTCTTCATCAATTTCGTGCCCGGAATCATTTGGCCGGGCCGTCCAAGACGTGGTTTGGTGCGTGATTTCAACGTCCGATGCGTGGAGGGGCATGCTTTCTTTGTGAGATGTTCTATGTTGAGGTCATCATCACTGGACAAGGCTTTCACAGTCTTCATGGTGTTCCACGTCTGCTGCCAGCCGTGCTGTGTGCGTCTAAACTGGCGCAAGGTAGTCATTCGGCTTGACCAGACTCCTTCTCAGGTCCTTGTGCGACACATTGTGCTTGAAAGCCTCGCAGGCAGTGCTTTTCAAGAGCTCGGCATCTGCTTACTCGTGTCTGCTCCAGGACCGGCTCAACCCAGGCCGTCTGCTCGTCGTAGCCTTAGTTGCACGCTTGTCGCATCACTTGACATCCGGCCCTTGGATGTTCGGGTGCTGCAAAGCTGAATGAGCGAGCCAGAGAGTGCCAGGTGCCAGCAGCGACCCTGCATGCACTGTGGCAAGGGGTCCAAAGTGACCTGCTTGCTGCAGGTGTGCATGAACTGTCATCGTCGGCGCAAAAGTCAAACTGGCTCCATTTTTGTTGCTGCAAGTGCCCGCTTTCTTCTGCAACCGTAGCATACCATTTAATCTCCCACTGCCCCCGAACTCGTGTCACCAACAACAAAGGCTCGCACAAGTTCAGCATCTTCGGCTAGCGAAGCAGTGTTGCAATCCGAATACTGGATACTTCGTGTCGATATTTACACACATGTTGATATCACCTCGAAGCTCATCATCCACTAGGGACTCTCCTGTGTGGCAACATTTGGTGCAGAACTAGTCTGCCCGCATGCGAGCACTCGCTGCTTTGATTACTGTAAGAGGTCTTGGACAGCGCATGAACATGTGTGACATGACCTGCATCCTTTTCCTGACTGCTCGTGTCGTCAGGCTGTACTTTCTCAAGAGCATGACAGATTGTAGAAGTTTTTTTGCGCCATGAAGATGACCACGAGTCAGCCCGTCGGCATCCTAATCGCGCATCACATCAGGTCATGCTGTCGCGCTCCGTTTTAAACCGAATGCTTCGCGCTGTCTGTTGAAGGTTCGAGCGACAGCAAGCTCCATGTGGGCAATTCTTGGTGTGGTATTATTGCTGCTCCATGTCTGCAAGAGTGCGATCTGCATAATGATTCAATGTGAGACTTGCAGCATGCCCTACTGGTACCTGGGTAAGTTCATGCACATGTCATGGAAACGAATGGTGAGGGTATGCATGTACACAGTTACAAGCTCATCAAAATGGTGGTGACTGAGTTTGTCTTAAAGACGGTATGGTTACCTGAGCAGGCAGCTGGCCAATCTTGGCACAGGGTCCGAATTGGAGGTTCACAACAGTTCGGCCTCAGCTCCGCGTAACAGTCTTGGAGGATGTGCTGCCCCACTTCCACTGTTGTAACAAGATTGGAGGTGCAAAGTTTTCGCAATCAACCAAGCATGGTGGGTGTGACCCGTTTTACCCTTGCACGGGACAGGACACGCTGAGGTTTTGATTGGAAAGGTATTGACCAGTATCCTGCTCCTCCTCCTCCTCCTCCCCCTACTCCTCTTCCTCTTTGAGTGGAAGGGGGAATGCCATACTGCTACCTTACCACACCAATGACCAGAAGAACAACAAGCTCACCATCAACCCTTCTTCCTTACACGCCTAATTAGCGTTGTCACTACTAGTCACTACTGGTAAGTTTGAGTGCGGCCTGGAAGGTTTGTAGACAGCCTCTTTCTATGCATACGTGAGACGCAACTTTGCTGTTTCACGAACTGACAATGTTCTAGCATATGTGAGCAACGGTGAGCAATTTCGCAACTCACGTCACATTGTCGAATTGCAGGTTGAATGGAGTTCGCCGCTGCGTACCAGTTGCTCTGCAGCCCTTCTCCCAAGGTCATCATTTGCTCTCGGTTTCATGCGGCAGGAGTTCATAACGCAGTGAACATCTGCATATTTCCACAGGAATCATAGGAAGTCTGAAAGCTTTGGACAAGTGTCGACACAGGTTTGCCCGTATACTTGAAGTGTGTTTTGGCCAGGGAGGCGCAGTATCCCAAAGGCTACTGCCGGCAGTGAAGTCTCACCGCTGCTTTTATTGGTCCCTACGGCACCGTGATACATTGTAAAATCCTCTGAGCTTGCAGTGTCTTAGAGTGATGCCGGCAGGTTTGGGACCTGCAGGTTGGTGTGCATACGCGGCAATGCTGCATTTCAGCTAGATTTCGTCAGCCACTCGACATGCCGGCAAGCATTCAGGTCTTGTCTGGACTGTTCTTCATCTACGCAGAGGATAGCGCAGAAGCAATGCTTTTTGCATTCAGAGTTAGACACATTCGCTTGCAGGGGTACCGTGGCTTCCAGCAGAAGTTTTCACCGTTGGTGGTGCGGAGAGCATTGCTGCTCGACCGTCAGCAGCCAGTTCTCCGACAGGCTTTGCTACGACATGCAAGTCTGAAATCGGTTGATCAGTGTCGTTTATGCTGTCGATCCGCCGCGGAGGAACCTGCTTCGTCTTGTCGAGCTTGCTCTACGTGTGCACTAACATGACGCACGCTTATCGTCGCGCACAGAAGTCGTAGCACTCTGGAGGTGCTTGCGCCCGCGTATGCCATGGCTTTTTTCCATGCGAACAAGAAGCGCAAGGCGTTTCTCTGAAGCCGGGCAAATTCGGATTTTAGTTGCGTTGGCTGTGCAAGGTCTCCTTCATTGTATGTTGGGATGTGCAGTAGTTTCCGATGACTTTCGCAATTATTTTGCCACTCTGCTGCTGGTAGCATCGTACAACAATGCCGTCAGCATGTCTTCGGCAGTCCTAGAGGTTCGAGTACGCTGCAAAACGTCAGACATTACATTAGTACTGCGTCTTGCCGAGTATTAGCAATGACTCATTCGCCATCTGATTTACGTGGTACTTGTCAAGCTCTTTTCGCTTGGCATGCTGGCTTGGTTTGGTTTCATAGCCTACAGCTTCTTGGCTCGTCTTGCGCCTCTGAGCATGCTGATACGGTTAATTACACTTGCACCTACATGTCGTTTAGCAGCAAGAAGTGTCTGGATAATGAAAAGACAGGGAAATCAAGCAGGGTAAGAATGACAACACCACTTGCTCTTCGTAGTAAGAACAGTAGCAAGCAGAGCAATTGGCATTGTGCTCGTAGAAAGAAGGTAAAGCATTAACAACATAATGACAATCAATGAGAGAGGTAGTAGCCGTTACACCAGCACCAGCACCAGCATCGACACCGCCACCGGCGACGAGGAGATCCTCTGCGGTATGGGCCCAATGATGTTCGTGATCATGCCTATCGGTGCATCACACAGAACGTTCGCTGTGGAGATCTTCGCATAATTTCGACGGAAGGTTTGAGATTTGTCCGCAGACGATGGAACATTGTCGGACCCACAACGGAGTACCATGCAACACCATGCAAAGTCGTTATTATGCAGCTCAAGGTGATCTCCGTGACCGCATAGGCGTTGCATGGGCAAATGGAGTGGCTCAGTGGTGATCTCGAACAGTGGCTTCGCACGCATGGCAATGTCCTGCGATGAAGATGGCTGGGTGTTCGTTTCCGATCCTCCGATGTGGACTGAACTTGCAAAGCTGATCGTGAAGATGTGCTGCCCGGGCTCCAAAGATGAGTGTGGCCCAAATCTTGGGGTTTGTGTTTCAGGGATCTGTTTAGCAAAACTTGGGGGGGTCTTGGGTGCCCCGCTCATTGTAGTGGGTCCCTCTTGGTCCTCGGCCTCGCCTTTTGCTCCGGCACTTTCCTTGGCTTCCTCCTGGCCCTCCGTGTTGGGAGGGGTCATCATTTTTTGGCGTTTTTTTGCCCTTTTTGTTGTTTGGGCCTGCGGGAGGTGGGTTGGGTGGGGTGCAGGGGGGTGCGGCGGCTGCGCGGAGCTCGCGATGCGGCCCAAGTCTTTACGTACAAGGGGGCTTCGAAGCAACATACAGTTGGAAGCAACATACCGTATTGACATGACTTAGACTAGACTTGATGGGATCTGTCATACAAGCACTGTACTATTCCATCTTATATTGATACCAATTCGGTATGATATGTACATTGAGGTAACACAAACTCTTACATCAATAGTAAATTCCAGCTTTGGTAATACTACAAAATATGTTACAAGTCAGTCAAACAGTAAATAACAAAGACTCGTATTGCTGCTATGTGATGATATGAATACTATATCAAGAATATGCAGAACTTGGCTAATATGAGAATAAACAACTATCCTTACTTACGGGTATTCTTGTACATAAAGCAAGTTCGTATTTGTGTCTATTCTGCTATGGTACCAAGTAGTCTTAGTATATTATACAATAAAGCCCTACCGCATACTATATACACCATATCATGTTGTGTTCTATTCTGTTTGGTAATACTCTGTCATAATACAGTGTTATATTAGATTAAAATAACTTCGCGTGTATGTATATACATATATATATACACACACATGCAAAATCCTTCTATATATATAGATATATAGATATATAGATATATAGATATATAGATATATAGATATATAGATATATAGATATATAGATATATAGATATATAGATATATAGATATATAGATATATATGCTACCCCCTGAAAGATCTATGTTTTTACCTAACACTGCTTACGTATTTTTGGTTTATCTATATATATATATATATACATATTAAATAACCACATGTACACTGTGGGGCCTGGGTTTTTCGTTATGTGTTGAAGACATGAGAACGAAGATTAAAAGATGATGACGACGATCTGATGTCAACGACGATGGTGATGATGATGATGGTCATGGTTGTCATATACTGTGATGACGTGAATTGAATGGGTGTGCGCGTGTGAGTTCATGCATGTGTTCGTTTGGCATTGAGATGTTCCATGTT